TTATTCAGGAAAAATAAATATAGTAAACATAGATATAGATATTAAATTCAGCAAAGACTTCCAAGTATATATTAAAAACGTTCAAGTAAGTGAGAAATATGATGAAAATGAATCAATAAGGAGTATCAATAGAGAAATTAAAACTAAACTTAAACAAATGGAAACTCTAGAGATAAAGAAAATAATAAATGAAAAATTTACTAGAGGAACTGAACAGTAGATATGAGATTGCAAACAAAAGATTGAAAGCTTTAGATAACACATTGCAATAACTGCATTCGGAATCTGTTGAACATAGATTAAGAGAAATTATCTAATCCAAAGATTGGAGAGAAAAAGTTTGAAGAAAATTGAACAGATCTTCAGAAAACTGTAAGGCGTCAAGTGTATCAACATACTTACAATGAGAATACAAGAGAAAATAAAGGGAAAAGAAAACATGTTTTAAGAAATAATGGTCAACTAGAACTGAGAGAGAAGTGTCCAGCTGATATGAAGTGAGGGGAGATGCACAAGAACACCCAAAGTTGCAGATAGTATCCATTTGACCTAGCTTTGATGACTTGATGATGAGAACTCAACTACAGGTAGATAAAAATTTTGATAAAGGAAACAAGTGTAAATTGCTACAATTTGATGAACTTGACCTATAATTATGGAGGTAGTAGCTCAAAATACCAACTAAGAGAGAAGGAATCTTCACATCAAGGATCGATCCTATCCCCTGTGTACACAGGTTTGATAGGGATGGGCAACTTAGACATTGGCTATATAAAATGGGGGGTGGTGGTGGGGGTGGGACAATAAAGGCATGAAGTGACTGGCTTACAAATTTTCAAGAGGAAGTTTAGTTTTAGAGTGTATGGGGGAAGGGAGAACCCCCACTGAATAGTATTCATCTTGTCTAGATGGGTCTGGTGAAAAGAGATGGGGATAAGAGTTTTATGATTCAAAAGTGAGTAATTGTTATCATGATTAATTGTAACTGTCACAACTGTAAAGGTAGAAGTTTT